TTCTTGAGATAAACTTTCTAAACGCTGCTTAAGAGCTTTGTTCTCCATGCTCAGGATAAGATTCTGCTGATTGAGAAATTCAAGCTCCGCTGAGACTTCCGAGCCTTCTGCCTGCAAAGTGACACAATCAATTCTAATGTCATAACATTTCAATAAAGCAGATCACTCTTGAACTCTTGAAGGAATTCCAATAGAATGCAATATTTCAGCTTCCATTGATCCTTGCCTGTAAAGCTTGTACATTTCTCTCCAACTCAGCTATGTACTGAAGTTTACGAACCCGTGAACGCTGAGCAAATTGCCTGAAATGGGCAGTAAGTTTGTCTATGAAACATCAAATCTTTAAAACCAGATTCTCGAATTATTTGTTTCTATCGTGCGCATTTCTATTCTTTCAGCAATAAATCCATTTTTAATATGAAAGGTCGCCAAGATCAAATAGAAATATCTATGTAAATAATTTAAATTGCTTTATCAACAGAAACATAGATCATTAGCACAAAATTTTGACATATAAGGAAAGTTGAATGATTAAGCAATTGTTTGTATCAAAGTTGAAACACATCAAAGCATCTGTATGTGTGAAAGAGTGCAAGCAAAAATCTGACCTACAGGATATAACACCATGAATCCTTAAAAGAAAAAAGAAATTTTATTTTATATGAAAATGAAAAACAAAAAGGTCTAGCTTAATCTATACACTAGCTGGAGGCAAGTAAAAAGTGCTTTACGCAGAAAAAATTGTGAACAGATATGAACACTGATTAATTTTTACAGCACTTTGGGGAGAGAACTCAGATATTCATTGACATACCCTTCCCCATAACAACTAATGACCAATTACATTACACTAGTCCATAGCATAATCAAATTCCAAACAGATATAGTGCAAATATTCATATTTCAGTAGTGAAATTAACATTCTGTTCGGTGAAGACACACCTAATGCATAACTGACATTCTATCAATGTGCATAATGAATTCCCACATAGCTTTCTTTCATCAGAAGAGAGCAATAATAACTAAGTTCATCATTCATGAGTTTTAATTGGGGGTTTTTTTCATGCACAATCTACCTGGGCTTCTTTA